CACTCGGCAGTTATTTTCTCCTTTGCCCTTCTGCTGTTTTCTCTCTGTCTGGGTGCTGGGGAGTGCTGCTCTCAGGAAGGAGAAGAGCCAGCTCCTTTTTGTCCTGCCTGCATTTCTTAGTGTTTCTGTTGGAGCATTTGAGACATGAACAGAGGTGGGTGGAGGTTTTGTAGTGTTCACAAATGGCAGCTGTTCAGCCTGGGCCCATGGCTGTTGCTGCTGCAGGTCAGGAGGCATGGAACAGGGCTGGTGAGTTCTGCTTTCCTTCCCTGTTCCAGGGTCACCTCTCTCCTTTTATCCTCATGTTGTGTTTGATCTTGGCTAGATGAGGCTGGGATCCTTTGTGGGAGTCAGGGGTTATGTAGCTTTTCAACACCCCCCTTAATGTCCCAGTAGGGTTTGCCTTCAGGTCTGCTCTGCAGCAGTCTTTTATCTTCTGGTGTCAAAGCCATCCTAAGGTTCCTCAATGGACATGTCCTGGCTGTGATCAAGTTGCTTCTGAATCTACTGATTTGGAATCCATCACAGAAAAAAGTATTTGGGGAAAGTGTTGTTTTACTGTATGTGCAGCGTACATCCATACTCTGTATACAATAAAATATATTTAGGGGAGTTGGACTAGATAATCTGTAAAGGTCCTTTCCAACTCAAATGATTCTGTGATTCTATATATGAAAAATTCCTGTTTTTTCTTGTAAAAGTTCCTGCCGGGTGGATGTGGATCGAGTGTTTGTGTGTTTTGTTTCAGCCTGTGAATCTGTCAAGATCCATCGCTTTTATATAAATAAATGGTCATCATTAATTATTTATATAAAATGGAGACATGAGGGAATGAGGAAGAGTCGCTGAGAGTAAACAGGAGGCTTTTAGGAGCCTGAATTTGAAATTGCTCAGAAAAGCAGTTTGGAGATGGATATTTTTAGAAATCTGCAATTTATTTTGGAGCAGAGAAAATTTCAACATTCCTGGGATGAAGAAGGCCACCTGTTTGGCAGCAGCTGTCCCACTGAGCTGGGCAGTGCTGCTGGCAGCTAATCATATCTCCAGCACTCAGATGTGGTATGCATGTGGCGTTTCAGTCGGTGCTCTGTGCAGACATATAGCTCGGTTTTCTTTTGTTTGCCCTGCATTTATCTGCGCATCTCATCTGGGCCACGTTGTGGTGCATCTGACAAATGATCGTTCCGCAGCAGTAAGCTGCAGTTCTGGTTTGCGGTGTGGATACAGCAAGAATACTTAGTATACTATTGTGACAGATGAAAGCCATGGAAGTGGGCCAAATTCAAGCAGTTTTCCATTGCATCTGATCAGCAGATCCTATGGAGGGAATTTGCCTGCTGTGAATATTTGATTCTCACTAGCTCAAACTATCTTGTGTGCTGGCAGTGCTACTGTGTGAATTTGTGGTGGCTTTCCAGGGTGTCTGTCCTACATAGCTGCCAATTTCTGCTGGTTTTTATAGGGTTTAGAATTTGTGCTCCACTTTGTGTGTGAGGAAAATGACCTAATGCAGTATAATGATCTTTTCCTTTCACACCAACAGCACCGGGGTTGTCCATCTTTTAAAGAACAGCCCAAACAAAATGGCAAGTGTTATAATCTCCCTCCTTCCACCTTCGTGTAGGTGCAGTCCCTCTGCCTTCAATCCTGCATGCGTTATCTGCAATTGGTTGTTCTCTGTTCTGACACTGAGGGCAGCAAAAAATTGATAACTCTTGCATTTCCAGTACTTATAAGTAAATGACATTGCATGAAGTGCTGACTTCATCATGACTGTCAGGACTCTGCTTAGGCAAGCACAAAGCATTTGGTTTTTAATTTGTCAGTGTATCCTCTGCTTGTGTCCTTTATCTGTCACCACACTGAAGCATTTCTCTTCTGTAATCAGCCTGTTTGTGCTTGAGGTAATTTCATAGATAAAAGCTACTTTTCTACTTTAAAATCTTGTGCAATTTATGGAAGAAACTTAGGCTTTAAGCTCACTTTGGTGTACAAGGACAAAACCAGAAGAAGCTGATTGAAGGGAGTCTCTGAACAGTATCGTGAACCCAAATTACACAAAGCCAGCAAGAGGCAGCTGCAGGTCCATAGTATGCAATGTGCTGACCTAGTGACTGATGGTCCACCTACTCCATCTCTGTCATTGCAGCCAGTAACCACTGAGAGGAAGGCACTGACACCTTCCTTTAGTGTATTGAGAGAATCATGTGGTACTGCCTTGTGGGAGGGAATTCATTTTGGTCACATTGCCCCTTGGGGCAGTGAGTGTTGCTTCCTGAGCCCACTGTAAAGGATACAGCCCTGCTAAGTGAGGCATGCCAGCTGACTGCACTGCAATCCTTGCCACTCTCTGCCATCTATTTGCATGCCTTGTTTAACTTTGCCAAGTTGTAGGGAGCTGGACATGCACACTAGATCTGTGTAGTTTACAGTCCTTTATTTAAGGTAAGAGTGTTTTAGATGCACTGCTACTTGTGTATGCAGCAACCTTTTTCCTTTTTCCGCAACTTTATAAAGTGCTACTTTATAAGGGACTACAAAAAATGTGTTGTTAGAGCTCACAGTTATGGAGCTGTAATTTCTCTCAAAAGATGTAAGCAGAATTTTATGAGAACTGAAGAAACCAGGACTTGGCCAATGAATGCTGTGCTAATCCAAAAAGAAAAGCCTTCCTAGGAGCTAAGTGTTAGTGGTAAGACTCCTTTCACTCTTCAGTGGTTTAGGAGTGTTGTTCTCAAGCATCTCAATGTAAATACAAAATACAGGTTTCAACTGTACTGAAGCAAGCCAAGAAATGTTTAGTTTTGCAGTGTTGTGAGGTACATTTTGACTTGGAGACAGGCAAGCTTGACCTGAATATCTGCCACCTGAAACCAATTTTTGTTGCCATTGTTTAATCCTTGGAAACAAATTGCCAATTTCAGAATCGCTGAATAACAAAAACTCTGAAACTGTTAACAGAAGCAAAAACTTCTTTCAGTGCTCACTGTTCACATCTTGTTGACATCCATGGTTATTCATGCTGGAATAAGACACCGACTGTGTAAGGAACTGTTTGTGGGATGGTGTTAGTGACTGTTGGCAAATGTTTTTATGATGACCATCAGAATGTAAGCATGTACAAGAACAGGCGTAGGGTTATGACACTGTTTTGTTGTGTTTTTGGTTTTTTTTTGAGAAGTGGACATTTGTTCATCAGCAGCAGGATTGTGTGTCCAAGCTTAAGGGCTGCCAAATGACTGATACTTTTGCTACTGCTTATCATAACTTGGTTATGAACTTCTGGTATAGAAATGGTAACAATTAGTTATCCCTGGAGTTTCCCCTCCCTCGATTGTTTTCTAAACCTATTGGGTTACAGTGTTGTGTGTGTCCTGTATATTTTTGTTAGGAAATGTCATTTGCAACTTTTGTTTTAAAGGCTTTTGCATTTTATTAGTTTTACACATTGCTCCACCCACCACTTGGAACTGACCAGAACTGCCCGCCTTCAAAGGCTAAACACAAGAGTTATTCATGTTGCAGTTGGAAATACTGTGGAAAAATTATAATGCAAACAGTAAGCCAGATGGAGAATTTTACAAGCATCTTTTCATGTCATGAATGATGCTGTCTCTCAAGGTTATGGGCTTTCTGCTCTCTCAACTGCTATTTCTTTCCCGCTGGCTCTGTTCCAGAGCTGTTAAGTTTCAGGGAAGAAAGGGAGATTTGGACTCCTCTAAATTTCTGAGTCCTTATTTCTGTGTGGGGTGGCTGGTGACAGCAAGCTTTGTGTGTGAGAGTGCTGGCATGCAGAGTCCCTGCAATTAGCATGCTGCTGGCTGCGCCCTGCCAGGCTGTGTCAGGGGCACACAGACAAAGCCTTCCACCCCGCGTAGGGAGGGCTTCGGTCTCCTACTGTATACACTGAGAGCTGTCTGGTATCTTCTGGCCTTTCCTTCCTCATTTCTATGGAAGTGGAATTCTCTGTTGTTCAGGTGTCACCACGCACGTGGTGCTCTTCCTCTCAGTCCATAGGGCAGGATGCCTCCAATTGGATGTTCTACACTAGAGGCCTTAAAGGATACCAAGCTGTGTGTTGTAGCTTCACTTGTCTGCCCATGTATCATTGCATCTGCTGATTGCACGTATATCTAATAACTCGTTCTCTTGATCTTCAGCACTTATCTTGCATATAAAAGCTTCACTGGTTCTATAAAAGGGTGGTGGTGTACACGCATATGTGTAAGTATAAAATATATACTAGACATATGTGCAGGCAAGCAGATTTGATCGCCTCCACACAAACCCATCTGTTATCACCCCTCTTTGGTTTCAAAGTGGTTTGTATCAGGTTGGGCTTACTCTAAAAGTGTAACTCCTCTATGAACAGTACTGCAAAGAGAGGGGTTACCTCTGCTAACAGGCGGTGGCTGTCTGAAGTGTAGCTTCAAGCATCTATCTGTGGAGAGAGCACCTACCTCTGCTCCCAGTGACTGATTAAGCTCAGAGGGGCAAGTGGACAGTTGTGTGTAATGGGAATAACTGGTTTGAGTTTGTATTGACATACAACACATTTTATGAACTGTTTGCTTAAGTGGTGAATGTTCCACATCTACCTTAATCACTTGTTTTAGAAATCCAATTGTTTCTTTTCTGGCTTGTAACACAATGAAATACTGCTGGCAGCCTACAGTGGCAGGTGAGGAAATTAGGAGGGCCTTTTTGTTTAAAGAAATAACCAACATCTGGGTTTGGAAAGAGGAAACAAATTTGTTGCAGTTATATTTGGAGAAAAAAAAAGAAAAGAAAAAAAAAAGTTTTATTTAATACTTATCTGGCTTTCAAACATAACCTATACTGACTTCCTAAGTTATGTGACTGGCAATGGCTTTGCTTCTTCACCTAGCTAAGAGTGTGACTCTTAGTGAACTGAATTGGGGAGGTGTTGCTTTAATAAGATGACCTTTGCAACTGAAGAAAAGTTAAAACTGTTTTTGTGTGTGTGTGCCTCATTTCAGGATAATATCATCTTATTCTTAAGAGGCTGCAAAGAGCTGGGACTTAAGGAATCTCAGCTGTTTGATCCTGGTGACCTGCAGGACACCTCAAACAGAGTAACTGTCAAGTAAGTACAACAGCAGTTTGTGATTAGCTGCTATAACCTCACATGCATGCAGTTAGATGGTAAATATTTGAGAAGGGCAAAGAGGATATGGAACTGTCATTTGTATAAAGCAAATAGGAAGCTGAGGTTTTTGAAACCTTCAGCACTAGGAATAATACGTTGTTCTCTTCAGCAGCCTTTCTTTAAAGGTTTGTTTTTTTGTTTTTTTTTCCCCAGAGAAAACAGCCACAGCTCTTTTAAAATACTGTTTTAATTTAGACAATGAGATTGTATGGGACTTAAGAGGTTTCCTGAGTCTAAATTGATGGCTTTTTTTTTGTCTATCCAACTAACAAACTATGTAAGCTGGGGGAAAAAAAATCACTGCTCTGTTGTTGCATAACTCTTTTGAAGATGCCTTATAGGATATTTATGAGCCTCTCAGACTCTACAAGATGCAGACAATGGGTATGGTCTGTTTATTTTCTATCAAGAACAGTAAGTTGTGACACAGTATTAAGGCTGAGGACTTCTGTCTAACCTGTATGAATTGGAAATGCTCCGGTTTAGATAATTCTTGCCAAAGCCACACACCTTCTACCATGTGGATTACCACGTACATGTTAAGGGGTTCTCCTTCTTAATAACTAATTCAGTTAGTTCAATTTAGCAATGGTTTGTACACTCTTTGTCAGATGCTTGTATTTTCAACATTTGATTTATGAAGTGATGTAAAAGATAGATGTGAAACTGGCACAGAAGAATTACTGGTCTTGCCGAAGATAGCACAGAACAGTCTTTAGTCATAGTCTGTATGGTCATAGATTGAGGCCTTAAACAGAAAATGTTCCTTTTGGGGAAGATTTTGTTATCATGTTGGAACAGAAGCAGTCAAACTGTATTTTTTACTAGTTCATTCTAATGGCAGTCAAACTGCTCACCCCCCAAAAACAAAAGCACCCAACACTGCTTCATAGAATTAACAAAATACATACTTGTAATCTAGGTGTTTTCACAACTTTTTATGTCTGTCATGTAATATTAAAAAGTTATTGCTCTACAGACAGGAAAATACTGCTGGGTTGATTGAATGGTCTTGCTTCATTTGGCCAGAGTGATTGCTAATGAAATCCTGGTTAGACATATTCATTTTAGAAAAGTATATGGAAACAATTTACTAAATCTCAGCAGCATTCTAGTTTTTTCCCCTCTGGCATTGAAAGCTGGGCAAGTTTTCCTGGTGTTCAAGTACTGTCTGGGAAAATTCAGAAAAGGTTCTGAAAATCACATTGGCTGCTGTCTTTACTTTGAGGAACAGTCTCCTACTTTTTGTTCCCTTCCAAGTTTCTGGGTCTGGTACATGCCAGTGAGAGAGGACCGTGTAATGAGTCTGCAGTGAGCTTTTCCCAGCCTTGTTCTAAATCTGGTAACACTGCCATGTTCTTCATGAAGTCCTGTGAAATACTGACAATTAGTGGCTGCAGAGAGTTGCAAAATAGTCCCTAATCTTCAGATAAAACCAGAGATAAATGGTTCTTATTAGAAGCTGCATCTTTAGGAGCTGAGTATAGCAGAGCAGTTGGTAGCAGCTCCAGTGAGAGCTATCCAGCACGTGAGCCTTTTCCACCAGGAATAAGAAACTGTAGGGTTGCCTCAACCCACAGCTGACTGCACTGCTCAAGAGATGTGAGGTGAGGTGGCTCACTGGCACAGATACCTTTCCCCCATCAACTCTTCAGAGAAAGCAGCTGTGGAAATGAGCCAAATGATTTCTCAGAACTGTCCAAGTTCACACTGAGTAGCTGAATGAGGTGTACAAGCCAAGTCCATGACTGTTACAAAGAAATATGTTCAAGACTGTCTTCATCTAGATAGATCTCAAAGTAGGAAGGTGATTTTTTCCCCTCTTTGAAGACTTTTGGGTTATTTTTGTTGAACACAGTAAAAATTGTATTATTGCACATGATTAATGTAATGACAGTTTTTAACTTTTTTTCATACAGGTGCTAACTGAAGTATGTATTAGATCTATTTTTTTTGGATCATTTGATTTATAAAGGTTATGAGCTAATGCTGCAAAGAATTTCATCCTGATTTATTAAACAAGACTTTTTTCCACTATTTTAAAAAATAGGGCTGTTTTGTATTTCTTACCATACATGTATCCATTGATAAAATTTTGGCTTAAAAAAAGTTATCAAAAACTCTTGGTTTTAGTTTTGCCTATATTTAGGCTTTTGTTTTTCTCACAGATTTGTTTTTTGTCAGGTAACATTTCATGCTGGGGTGGATCATGTTATAGTAGAAGGCAGTTGACAATTCTTTTACATAATAAGGAAAAAATCTGTGCTAAATCTGAAATATTATTTTTTCAGCACTTAAACGTGGTACATATTTTCTTTGTTCCTTTTTTTCTAATAGTTTCTCTGCTGAATTTTGAATTGTTTTTTATGGTTATGCAAATTTTCTGCTTTATTGTTTCTGCAGACTTCCAATCTTTTTGATGAACATTGGTGCCCAGTCTGAATTCTAGAGCATACATTCAAAACATAGAATGTACTGTATACAGCAGGTTCTGTTGTAAAGGTTCTGTCTGTGGCAGAATCTTTACTGCTTCATCTACCTGCTTTGTTCTTTGAATCCTCAGAAGCACCTGCTGTATTTCATTGATTTCCTTGGGGTCATATGCATGTTCAGTTGTTTTCAGAATCTATATGAGTTGTGTGATTTATCACTGAGCAAAATCTGACTTCTGGATAACTGCAAAGTTGATATTAGCAATGGGGACTTCGGTCTTTTTGACCGAAATATTTTCCTCAGTTAAAGGAAAATATTTTTGGCACTGCCCTACTTTACTGTGGGACTGTTACAAACACATTTTCTTTTTGTACTTCCAGAAGTATCATTTAATGATTGAAATAATGGTGACAAAATACTCCCACGTTATGAATACATAAATGTGTGAACTACATCTTCTTAGCTTTCATGTCTTTCTAGCTAGCAGAAGCATACTGCAGACTTTTATTGGGGAAAACGTGATCTGCTGCATACATGCTCTTGAAAAGTAGGTCTGCATTCTGATTTTTTTTCCTCTTTTTTTTTTTTTTTTTCTTTTGTGTATGTGTGTGCATATGCAACCAGGAACACTGACTGTAGTAGGAAGCTGAAAAATGTAAGTATGTGACTTGGAGTATTTTTTTGTTGGGTATATTTGACCTCTGCTAGATCTGTGTCAGTAAAAAACAAGCCTAGTTGAGTATTTCTGATATATTCTCCTGCATACAAATCTTAACTGGGTTGTACTGGAAACTTAGGTAGAGCTGCTATGGCAGAGCAGCCATCTTTGGTTAGATAAGGAAGCAAACCATCTGACCTCTATGCTGTCCATTGTGGCTTTCACCAGAATGATCTGATTCAGTCGTGAGGCTACATCCTTGTGGTATTACCTGAATAAAAGGAAATTTGTGCAAAGTACTAAAATGAAGCAAAATGGTCATTAGATCTGCACACCAGTCTTTACAGTCATGTTCACTAGCTTTCCCATTCTTCCAAATAAATATTTTCCCAGAAAGGCTAATTCCACTGAACTTATTGTTGATTTGAACTAATGGTAATGATAATAGATTCTGTAACTGTCAAGTAGAAAAAAAAATGGCTAAAGTTGGTTGGAATCAGAGTTAGTTATTCTTCCAAAGCCTAACAAGCTGTCTCTTCTTTATAGGCACATAAACTGCTATAAATTCAATTTTATATTTAGCTCATATCCCTATAGACTGCTAGGAAATGCCAAGGCCTTTTCCTAATAACTTTTCAAGCCAGTAATCATGACTGCAGGTAAAAGAAGAAGAAAAACAGAAGAAGAAAGATAGTCTTTCCCACCAACATTTAAGTAGTATCTTCTGCATCCAGCAAACACAGTTATAGGAGAAGAGTTTAGCTTTGCCATTTTAGCACCCTTATGGGCACTGGCTGTATGTATTTGTATAGATGTATCGTTTTAAAGGTAAAGTTCCAAAAGTGTCCTCTACAGTGTGTCTGTAGACAGTATATACCTTCAGTGTATATTTTCCAGGTGCATATAAATGCAGTCTCAGCTGGCAGCCAATCAGAATTGCTTGCAAATACGACATTATTTGGGGGGAAAAAAGGCCACAGATAAAAACAGAAGAGAGAGGGTGATCAAATGCTAGCAGAAAGAAATAGAAATACCACAAGTTTCACCAGAGTACTGAGCAGCCAAATGAACTGGACACCTTCCTCATTGCTAGGAATATGAGGTTTGCAAATGTTTTCACTTGAGAACACATACAGTAAGAGATATTACGTAAATTTGTTGTTCTATGTTGAATAGCGTTTGTTGAACAGTACAAATACTTTTTTCACCTCAAAAGACCAAAAAAAAAAAAAAAAAGTATTGGCAAAACTACCTCATTTTCCTTGTGACAGTAGTGTCAGTATGTATGCACTTCTTAAAATGAGAAAAAAAAACAACTTTGAACTGCATTAAACATTTTATTCTGCAATTTCATGGTATCTGTATTATTTATACAGTGCACCATGGCTGTGTTTTCAAACAGGCAACTTGCATGATATGCAGAGCTAGCAGGGCCTCAGCTGCAGCGCTGTGTGGGACTTCAAACATCACATTTGAATGAGAAATGGGGACGTTAGAGAAAGTTGGTTGAAAAAAGGGCAATCAGAAATCTAGTAAATGTGATTGAGGAGGAAGTACTGAAGGAATTTGCTTGCCTGTTTTAGGGAAGAACAGCCTGGCAGAGATACCTGTCACTGCATCCCCTCAGGTTGTCTTGCATCTCTTTCATATCATGCTCTTTAGTATGCATTATACAGACCTGTCAGTACTTAAAATACTATATTTTGGTTTATTCAGCTTTTGGAAGATCATTAATAGCAATTGTTACAGACAATTATAATTTAGTATTGGTTGCACCAGCTTTCCACACCAAAATATTTCCTGTTTATTCTGCAGTTAAATGCTTTGCCATGCCATGGAATAGGCAAAAATAATGAGCATTATATGAGAAAATGCCATAAGTTCTGAGGTGTTTGACATTTTTAACCAATCCAAAACACTGACCTGAAGTAATTTTGATGAGCAGTTTCCAGTTCAAATTGCTGTTTCACAGGTTCTGTTAAAGATATTGCTGCCTGCTAACTGCGTACACATGTGGGTCCATAGAACTGTTTGCTTTCCTTGCATGACGTAAATGTCACTGCTTTTGGAGGTGCTGAGTTTACCATCCTGGGCACCTTAATTTCTTCTTCCCTAAAACAACCGCAGCACCAGCTATGTTCAGATCAGATTTCTTTTGCTGCCTAAAGGAGAGAGGGTACATAAACATTTGAAAGTGCAATTCTTGGCATTTCTTCTCTGCTGGTTTTGAAGTGACTCTTGTTTTATGGATAGACATAAAGTCAGAACTTGAATGAAATCATGAACTCTTTCCCATTTAATGTATTAGAAACAATCAGATGCTTATGGCCTTTGATTAATCTTGCACTGAGCATTTCTTAAGCTAGCAGAATACTGGAAGTAAATGTTCCCATATCATCTGGTAAAGTACATTAAGATGATTAAAAATTGAACTACCTTTTATTTCCTTGAAATGGGCAGAAATATATTTCAGATGTTCTATTTATTCCATTAGTCATAAGTGTTTCAATTAACAACCACTAGTACAAGTACTGTTTAGGTGTTTGGTTTTTTCTGTTGCATGTACAAATAGGCATATTTGCAAATGTCTTTTCTGGACAGTTTCAAATTTCTTGCCTGGTTTTTCTATTCAGATTTATTTTTGCTGTTTACTTTCCAAGCAGACATGACAGGACCATTTTTTATAAGAAATATCAGGAATGTAATGTATTAAGTTGCATCTTCTGTTGGCCTGATTAAATTTTCATAGTTGCGTGATGTGTTAATGCCTAACCATCGACAGGTTCTTCCCTTTCAACTGAGATTTATAACAAAGTCTTGTGCTACTGGACAGTTTAGAGTAAATGAGAAATGCTTAAGGGAAGTAAATTAAGCTAAGTAGCTGTGAAAATGGCCTCAATTAATTCTTATTAACTTCTGCAGGTATTAGTCACCATTTATTGGCTAGGAAAAGCAGCAAACAGCTGCGCATCATATAGTGGATCAACCCTGAACCTGAAGGAGTTTGAAGGTTTACTGGCACAGATGAGAAAGGTATTTATCTTTATGTTATGTTTTGGGAATAAAAATTTAGTTCAAAAGATTACTCCCATAAATAAAATGTTTGTTGCTAAACGTAAGAGAAGTGGTGGATTTGAGTACAAATTACTTGTAAACCCCCATCTCCTTTGAAAATGTTTCTGACTGTACCAAGCCATAAACATGACTTTCTTTGGCAGCCAGCTCTGTGGTGATATTAATGATGCAGCAGTTGATGTGAAACAGGGCTTGAGAATTGTCATCTGGCTCTGTCATCTTCATTTCCACAGTTTTTGGTTTGAATTATTTTCATTTATGACACAGAACTTTAGCTATAAGAGCTGAGACTCAAGAGTAGGCTGGTGGGACTTTGGAGAGAAGAGATTTATTTTCTTTAAAACACTCATTCTCAGGCAGCTCTTTCTTTTTTAAGTTGTAACATAAAGCATCAAACCAAAGTATCTAAATAAAGCTGAAGGGTAGAAGAAAGAAATTATGCTTTACAAAGGGCATGGTTACAATGAACCTGTGTTTTGGCAGGCTCTAAATTCTGACTGAAAACATATTTGGTGGCTTATGATGAGCTGAGCTCTGTTGGAAAGGAAAAGTTACTGTTGCTGTAGAGTGATCTGGGGACTTATGGCTGAGCCCTACGGCATGTCTGCAGCCTCACCATGGGATACAGCATCAGCAGTGGTTAGCACTGGTATCCATTCATGCGTTTTCTGGGATTGGAAGCAGCAAGCAGCAGACATGGAAGAAGATAGAAGCACCTGGTTCTGATGTTACGTATGTTGGACACATAGCTCATGAAGTAGCATGCAGATACCTTCTCTAGTCCTCAGACAGCTTCCCGCCTGCCACTTCCGTCCCATCCCACAGGTCTGGGGACCATGGGAGATGGCTGGCACTGGGCTGCCCCTGGACAGGAAGAGATATTTGGCTGATTGATATCAGTTTTTACATTTTCTACATCCCAGTGTCAGTAGGTAGGCTCTCAGATTGATAACATCCCTGTTTGTGAGCACAGAGCAATGTGAAAGAAAAGAAACCTTCTCTGTAGAGGTTTCTTTTGGTCTTCATTTGAAAGGGCTTCACTAATCACTCAGGACTTCACAATACAGGAGCAGTACAACTGAGACTAAGCACAAGAGAAATTGAGCTAATACTTGAGTTGTTTTCTGCTCAGTGCAGGAAGGAGTAGTCCCTGCTCCAAAGTTTGTAATCTGGAAGGCAAAACAAAGGTAACCATCAAAGCTAAGGCAGAAAAAAAGTGCAGGTTGATAGAGTGTTAGTGCAGCATGGTGCTACAGTTTATCTTTTAATATTTAATCGACAACATGAGACTCCTTTTTTCCATGTCATTTTTACTCATCTAACAAATTATCTGAAGGGGCACTTGGTGGGACAAAGGCACAGGACCCCAGAGGTAGGGATCTCAGCAGAGTTCACAGCAGAGTGCCTGGCAAGTAGGGCAGAGCCTGCAGGTTGAAGACAAAGCAAGAGACTGGGAGTTGATTTGTTGCAGATGTTGGAACTGGGAGCAGAGCAGAGATCTCATAAAAGCTGAAAGCTACATACTCCTGTAATGTAAAAACAGAGCACTTCACCATCCTGAAAAGTCTGTTCAGCTGGTGCTGGTAATGAAGGTCACTGGCAACTCATACTGAGTTCTGCTCCTGTTCCCCTGCAGTACTCCATATCAGCTGTTGTGGCCTTTTCTCTTTCTAAATTTGAAGAGGATTTGGTTGTAAAATTGAACGTGTTAATCATGCTGTGTAACACTCTGATGTTCTTTATAGCTGAGCTTGAGTGCTGAAAAGACACTTTATCACATTCTCTACAGGCAATTTTTTGCACAGAATTTAATAATTAAATCTACCATAAATTCAGTCTGGTTTGGTTCTTCCACTATAAATCCCCTCTGCTCTCGTTTTTAAATAAGGAAATCAAAAGACAGCTCAGATGTAAGTTGTCTTGGATTCATCTTTTTCTACTGAAAAGACTATTCATTTCTAATTTTATTCATACTGCTCTGTTTTTAATTTCATTAACTATTTGGATATGTGTCTTTGTTACTTTTAAACTGGAAATTCCCAATGACAAAACATTCATATCTTCTGATTATATTCGAGGGGTGGAATTTCCTGCAGAAATGCATCTTCTATTGGACGGCCACCCTTCTGCTACTGCAAAATGGCACAGTATACCATTGCCATACTATGGTGACATACGGTGTTTTTAATTTGATAAAATGAAAAGCAGTGAGCTGCTCTGAGCTATCAGTCCTGCAGATAACCACTTTCTTTTTCCCATTGATAATGTCTGGGAGATGACGTTCGTTCAGGGCAGGACAAGTACCCATTTGTGAGACAGCATTTGGCTGGGAGGGATGTTTGCCAAGGGGAAGGCATAAAGGACGTGTTTGCAGAAGTCTAGGATACCATCGTGGTGCCTGCCTCCTAATTCCTGGTGAGCTGCATGCGGAATTAACATAAACAGGCTTTTGAAAGAAAGGCCTGCAGAACTCATTAGTTCACAATTGGACTGTTTTCAAACTCTGGAAGATAGCAAGCACAGGACGGGGCTTTTTTGCCTGCGTTTAAGTCCTGTGGCTGCTGAGCATTTCTGTGTCACTCAGACACAGTAGTTCAGGAAAATGGAAGTGTGCCTGAGGACTGAGAATAGCTGAGTGGTATGAAGAGCCGAGGGGATTTAGGGAATTTGGATTTTAAAAGGATTTTGGATCATGTCACAAACAGGGTTTGATAGGATTTCTAGTTTTGTTCTTGGGTCTGTGTAACCCATGCAGATTTCTAGGAGACAAATCTTTGTTGTCTGGCATTTCTGGCAGTATTTTAACCCACGTGCTAGGCAGGACTGGGGAAGGAAATTACATAGGTTTCAATTACTACTTTGTTAGATATGTTTTTATTTTAGAACGTCTTTTAATTTCGTTTGCAATGAGGTTACTCACTGATGTTATCACAGGTTAGCTTGGTCTACCTCTGAGAACCTCTGCTGCTGTCCTTAACGTGGTCTAGTATTAAATGGGGAGTTTGGTGGCCCTGCATGTGGCAGGGGGGTTGGAGATTCATGATCCTTGAGGTCCCTTCCAACCCTGGCCATTCTGTGATTTTGGCAGCATAATAGCGAGTGGCATTTATTGAGCCTTCTTCCTGAGAAGTCTGCAGGATGGTGAGTCTGCTCTCTGCAGCTCACCTCGGGCCTCATGTTTGTGTGTTTCTGCAGTGCTCTCCTCCTGTAGTCATCTCCAGCAAATGTGCTTTGTCACAGAGATGCCAGGGCACATGGGGATATTTGAGGCTGATCTCGTCATTGGCTGTGCCAGTGATGGGTAATGCCTGGGCAGTCAGGGCCGGTGGGAGCTGAACTGAACATAGCTTTTGTGCTCCAGTGAGTGGTGACCAGGGGGTGCTTCTTAATTAGGAATTAATATTCAAGTGCTTCTGGAAGGAAAAAGAGAAACAACAAAAAAAGCACATTCCAACCTCCTTGGGTCACAAAATGTCAGTCTGATAATGGCACCCACATTTTTGACTTTACTTACTGTCGAGGGAAAAAAAAAACAGGTTTATCTTTGAATAAAAGTTATTTTTGTTTTTCTCCGCCTGTGCTATTGTAATTAATGTTAAGACACTCTCTAAAACAAGGGATTTATTATAATACAGGGGTGAGGATGGCTTCTATTGACCTTTTCCCTCTGCTGGAGTTTCAGTGTTTTAGTATGTGCTGCTTGCACTGGAAAGAATTTATAATCACAGGGCTGTCAAAGACAACCATTGTTCTCACTGCTCTGAACATGTGGGTCAGCTACAAGCGCTTTCATATCCCCCAGAGCCAGGAGCTGGCAAAGAGTAAAGAGCACAACTGAATTCTTCTGAGGCATCAGGAAAAGCATTTTGCATATTTTTCATTGCTGATTGCTTCAGAAAGACATCCCTCTTTCATAACAGGAATTTCTCTTCAAGGTAGAGGGAGGCTGGGGCACACTGCTTCATTATTTTGCTGAGCTGAAGCAGCAACAACAAATGCTGTCTGCTGGTGTCCCAGCCAGATACAATAGATAGGCAAGGGGAGGGGGAATCCTTTGCAAAGCAGCAGACTTAAACCTGATGCAGGCGCGATGTTAGAATTGTAGTGCTTTTGTTGCTGCTATGGACTATGAACGACAAGTCACGTTTCAGGTTTCTCTTGATTTTGATCACTTTATTGACTTGGTTGTTGCAACTTTTTCACAGCTTATAGATCTAATCTAATATGCATACTTTGCTCTTAATTAGCATAAAATTGGGTTTATTGCAAGCTTGCACTTCTGTTTTGACGGGAAAGGGGAGAGCAAGCAAGGAAATCTTTTTCAGGGGAAGAGGTTTTTAGTACTTTGGAAGATGCTGCGTTATCTGATGTGTAATGAATCTCATTGATATGTCAGTGGCTTCTTTCTGAAGAGGTATCTACTGTACTTCATTTAGGAAACAGAGGATATTGAGAGCCCAAAGCGCAGCATTCGCGACAGCGGCTACATAGACTGCTGGGACTCGGAGCGCAGTGATTCCCTCTCCCCCCCGCGCCACGGCAGAGATGATTCCTTTGACAGTCTGGACTCCTTTGGCTCCCGCTCGCAGCAGACACCATCCCCAGATGTAGTGCTCAGGGGAAGCAGTGATGGTGAGTACTTGTTGCCACGAGGCATGCGTTGTCTCTGGAGTAAACGTGCCTTTCAGAAGCTGGGCACAGCGTCTGAATCACGCTAATCCTGCAGGAGAGCTTCACTGTGAACGCTGATTTGTGCTCCCCGAGGTTCAGATGACTTTGCCAACAGCTAACTTGAAGTCTGTCTCAGTTTGGATAGCAGAGTTTTGGAAAATGAGTTACATCATTGCAGTGTAATTTTATTATTGGGATAGTGCTTTTCTAGGTTATGGTGTAAGAGGATGTTATGCAGACTCATTTTAACTTTTAAGCTAGGCTGGAGCAAGAAATAAAAGTGCAGGAACAGGGGAAATATTGAAGCGAATGAAATGTTGCCTAAATAAACCCTAGACAGATAAATGACCTAGAAATATCTTGGAAATGTCTGATACTTGTCTGAGCTTTGAAGTCTGATATAAAACATGCCACCAAGTGCCATGTGAGCTTTCGTGATATTTAGAAAACTGGGTAACTGAACAGCTCACAGCATCAGAGCTGTGGCCGTATCAGTACCCTTTTGAGTCCAGCTCTTGACTGGCAGGTGCTGCTTTTCCATCTTTCTTGTTTGATTCCCAGATGCTTCCTGAGGCTTGCAAATACAGCATGCAATGTGGGGAAGGGTTTTCTAGAGGCAGGTGTAGAGCATACACTGAAATTGCCTACTTTGAGCAGGATTCTAGGTCAGAACAAAGGACGCTTGATTCAGACTCCATCTGCTTGATTGCATTTATGGTGAATGAATGAGTAAGTCGAACATCATCAGATGAAATTATATTCAATGCATGAATCACTTCTCCTTAGTAATGTTATTAATTTAATAAAAAAGGAAGGTCAGAAGGATATTTTGGTAGGAACCAGATGTTCATACTACTTTTGGCAGCGTGAAGGAAACTGGTGCTAATCATAACCGGATGCCTGAGAGATTTCCTGAGGTGATGGGGAACTCCTTAAAACTGAAAAGTTGGCAGGGAGAGCCAGTATCACAGATGGGATGTAAAGGAGCTATGGGGAAAGTAGGGTTGCATTCTGCTGCTCAGCTGTTTTGAGTGGCATATGTTATGTGACTGTTGCTGGACATCCATCCAGAACCAGCCACTGGGACTGATGGCTTGAAAAAGCCTTGTGACCCCTCAGACACAGAACTGAATGCAGTCTCCATGTTAGAAATCATTTTTCTGCCTTCCTAAACAAGACAAAAGTCTGTTGTTGGCAAATAGGAGCACCTCGCTTGTCCTAATTGAGAAGCGTTGCTTCCTTCTGACTTCTCCCTGCCTGTTGGGAGCTGCTGGGCAGCCTGTTACACCCCTCCTGAAACTGCTTCCAATGAACTTCTGCTGTGTTAGCAGATTTTTGTAAGGTTTTTTGGTTGCTTGTTGCCATAGCTAAGACATACTGTCTTGTCACATTCTTGAGTCCATAACAATGAAAAAATAAGATGCAAACATACAAAGCTTGTTCTTAAAAATTCATCTTTAACCATCTCCAGATTAGGTGTGCATGCAGATGTAGCATGCATGTGTATGGCTTATTGTGAAGACCCTTTCTAATGCATCCCATTTTCCCTACTTGCTGCTGCCATGACTTCACGGCTGTCTCTTCCAAAAGTTGCAGCTGAGGTGTCGCTTGGCTGACCTCTTTTCTGTCTAACCTCTCCCTTGCAGCCCCAACAGGCCAGTGTTTTACTCAGCTGCGTGTGTTTATTGATAGAAGTATTATATATGCAAAGCTGGAGGAACGAAAAGATACTCTTCACTTTGCTTTTCGCAGATAGGATCTTTATAAACCTAAGAATATGCAGTAAAATGAAATTATGATTCCTTGTATTCCTAGGAAAAAAATGGATGGAGATCATGTAAGCGATTGTAAAGCAATGATGAGTTGAGCTAGAAGCATTAAGTAGTACCACCTTCCCTGTTGCCACTTGTGATCTGCATCTCTGTTCAGGTACTGCTCTGGTGTCCTATGTGGCTCCTGTCACTTGGCAAAAAGCAAACAAGACTAGTGACAGAGCAGAATAGCGTGTTAAAATCAGTAGAACTGCAATCTGACCTGCTCCAAAGTCACTGATGTATTCAGGAGCGTATAAATCTTTTGCGTGGCTGGCAGTTGTGCACAACGCCTTTTATGAACTCATGTAGGTCCCTTGACACACTGCTGTGTGCAAATCTGTAGTATATAGCTGCTTCTTATGTGTTGTGGAAACTGGCTGCTTCTTCTGCTTGGAAATGCAGAAGAACAAAATTAATGTTATAAATGTAAAGCACAGCTGCATCTTCTACTGCGTGCTCTGGCTTAAAGTGATGATTTTTTTTCCAAATCTCAGCTGAAAATAATTTTATGAGTAAAAGATGAGTAATTAAATAAGCTGCTTTCCTTTGAAGTACCAACCGTGGATATGCTTGTAGGCACACAGCTAATGAGGAAGAGGAATCTCTTTTTATTTATCTGCTAGGGTGGTTATCTATTCCAGCATTTCTGTCTGCTTCTTCAAGACTAGTTTTCACGCAATACAAAAATAAACACCAAAAGGAAGAGTAAACAGAATAGCAAATAATAGGAAGGGATCTTCTCACCCGCTTTGAGCTCCTCTATGGCCCTGCTTAATCTATTGGTATTACAGCTCTTCAAATCTTTGCTGTCCTCAGACGTTTGTGATTTTGTGGCTGTCTCCGATTTCTGCTTAGACATAGGTAGAGGCTGCCAATCATAGTGCTAGCTGTCATGTGCTCTTAATTGAAATTGTCCAAGCAAAACCTTTCTGACAAAAAGTACATTGTGAATTTTGTCTCTCTAGTTGATTTCCATTGTGTCGTCTTGTCTTGTTTTACTGTTCCCTTTCCTTCATCTTTCTCCATGCAAACACTGAATCATGCAATCTGCTGCAAAAGCTCTTTGCAAATAACATTCCTGCCATATTTAGACTTCTGTTCCTTCACCCTGCTTTGAATTATATGCAAGCTACTTGTGATTTTTATGACTTCATTGTTTTCAGTTTTTCATGAGGTAGCTCAGTGAATTAGCTAGTAATTTATTAGCATAGTGAATTAGCAAGAGGACACAGTCTGGGTGGCTTCCCCCTCTCCCCAGGCAGGGAGAACAGCTATTGCATATGCTAGTGTTGCCAAGGGGCCAAGTGCCAGAGGAGCTAGCACTCCAAAGCTGGGAGAGCATTTGAATGCTGGTGGGAGAGTTGGCTGTGTGTTTCACTCACTTTCAGCCGTCAAATGAGGGCCTGTGATGAAGTTACACTTCTGGGATAGAACTATTTGTATGGCTTCTTTGTGAATTACTTTAAAAGGCTCATGATGGTGCAGGGAATCTAGTGAATGTCTACATAGAATCTTCTAAAATGGGTGTGAGGGCAGTTCCACTGGAAATGCTCTTTAACATATTTGCCCTACCCTTGGGCAGTTTTATTTGCAACTGTATTTTCAAGCTGGAAAACCATTTTCCTCACCTTTGTGAATACAGTTTTTAAGTGGGTTGTGAATATCAGGAAGATTAGTTCATTTGTACAAAATAATCTCTCAGTTCTGTTCATCTCCCGTCTTATTCTTTGCAACTCCTTATTTTTCCCTCACCTGTTTTCCTTGTGAACAAGTATTATTCAGTCTTCGCAGTACTGCTCTAACCCACAAACTCTACAGCTTTTCCTCTTACATGTGAGGATAAAGTCTGACGAACCAGGTGAGACTGGAGACAGACCACCTGAGTCTTTTAATCTATAGTAGCTGATGCTTATTCTAAAATTTTGATCTAGGATGATGCTGTACGCATTTAAAGTGCCGTTAATACATGTATGCAGAATCATCTATAGATCCCTGCCATTCTGGTGATGCAGGGTGTGCATCTCTTTTTTTGTTTGAGCTTGGGATATGAATTGAACTCTAGGTTCAAGAGAGTGAACCAGGTCAGATGTACCTGTATGTGCTGCCAGGAGTCAGTTGGATATGTGAGGTAAGCTGTCATGTGTGAGTAACAAATCTGGACTAATGTGACCCATAGTTAATTGGAAAATCCTGCATGGTGACCTGTGGCTGAAGATGAGTTTTTCAGGGGGAAAAATTAGGGTTGTTAGAAAAACTATCTACTATCTATGTAGGTACTGCAGCTTCTACCTTCACTAGCTGATTTTAACATACGAACACAGGTAAAAAAGACTTCAATTATTGGTGCTCACATGCTGTCATTTTTTTTGTTGACATCTTCTCTGATTTATAATTTTAAAAAATCTGGATGGAAAAGAAGAGAAGAAGGATTATTTTCTCCTTCCTCACTAGGGAGAGGAAGTGACTCAGAAACTGACCTGCCACACAGAAAGATGCCAGATGTGAAAAAAGATGATATGTTGGCGAGGCGGACCTCACACGGTGAACCTAAATCAGCTGTGCCTTTTAACCAGTACCTCCCAAACAAGAGCAATCAGACTTTCTATGTACCTGCTCCACTTCGGAAAAAGAAAGCTGAACGAGAAGAGTATCGAAAGAGCTGGAGCACTGCAACTTCACCACTTGGAGACAGACCTTTCAGGTAAGACTGGCCTGTTCAACTTCTCCCTTCCTTGGTGATGATGCTTTAACCCTTAGCCAATTTGTCGCCTTTTCACAAGCTACGTGAAGTGCCTTGCCCTGTAATAAATCTCTTGCTGAGACGGTACTGATAAAATGTAGCAATTAGTGAAGACGGTAGAAAAGCAAAGAGTGAAAAATCATTGTCTTGATGTCATTATTTTACTATACAGTGTACTGTATAACCTGTGTTTGACAAGATATTGTTTACTGTGAATATCACGATTGTGGTCTCAAACCCAAGGCTGGACGAAAATATTGCGGATAACCTGTTTCAGTTCTCAAGACAGTTGCTCAATACCAGATGATACTGATAAGTAATATTTGATGTATCTAATCGAAATAAGTAATGTTTGTGCTGTGGGGTTTTTTTTAATTGATTTGTTTGTTGTACCTTAAACATTGGTATGGCTTATGTAACTGTGACAATGTGCTTCTGCATGCTGTTTCTGTCAACTGATATTTCACTTCTGATTAGGTCTTAGAGCAACTTCCAGTAAAGAGCATTATCATCTTCCTGCCTCATTCATCAGAATATTGTTTGACATCTTGATAGAAACTGAATTTGCTAATCTATGTACCAGGCACAACATGCATTAAACTAACCTGTATGTATAATTCATTAGCAAACCTGAAACCATAGAAGAAGAACAAAGTGAAACATCAGGACTGTGTGATAAGGAGAAAATGGGCTCCATGGCTCCTGAGGAAAGCCCTGTTAAAATACAAGCAGATTTGAATCAGAATGAAGGAAATTCCATAGACCAGTCTCCTTCATGTAGTGTAAAAGAAGCAACGTCACTCAAGGGAAAAGATGAAGCAGAGATCAAAAAGTTAAGAAGACTTGAACAAGCTGGCATTAAGGTCATGTCAGCTGCCCAGCGCTATGGCAGGTTAGCCCAACAGTGTGGGAATTTGTGCACGCTTCACATTTTTAGGATTGGCTGTAGTGTGGGCTTCCTCAATTCATTGCAGTTTCACTCTCCTAACAAAAATCCAGCGTGCTAAGCACTCACAATGGCTAGCCTTTTAGTGAAGGTGTTGGTATGGAAAAGCTTGTGATGTGGCAGTTGTGCACTGGAGAGTTGTGTGATGTTAACTGTGTTTGTGTTGAGTGGTTGAATTATGTTATAGCATAATGTAAACAAACTCCAAGGAAACTACTACACAAACTCCTTGTCACTTTCCACTTAATGCTTTCTTGCATTTAATTAAAAAAACAAACATGTAAATGTATATTGGAAATGCTTTCCTCGGGCAGAAGTTTCAGAGACATACTTGCTGGCAATGCAATGTTTTAGTTTACTGACTCACACTTCTAATGTGGTTAATATTTTTAGCTGTGTTAATAAATGTTGCATTTATTTTTAAAGGCAGGAACTGTAAAAGTACAGTGCTTATTAATACATGTGCTAGTTAAAGCATGGAGGCATAGTTCATGATTTGACTGGCTTTGGCATAGAGCATCAGTAGTTATTCACTTATTACCTGCATTATTTATTTTTGGATGTAGTTCAATTTGGTTGTTTCCTGTTCTTTAACTGAATAGCTGAATGATGGCTAGGCTCACTGCCCATGCCTTTTCATGATCTGATGTCAAATCCTCATGGGGATGGCCTGCATAAACAGAGTTTTAACATGTCCAAAGACTATGCTCTTACAAATGATGAAAATGATTTAGCTAAAGGGTGAGTATCCAAGTGTCCTCCCATCTTTTCATTTGAATTGTTAGGGAAAATCTTCATCGCATTTCTATTCTGATTGAGGCAATTTCCTGAGATCCAAATTGGTGAAGCATGGGGTGAAACCCTGACAGTGAGTAGTTTAGCAGATGCTGGTCTACAATCTGGGCTTTGGAGTGTAGCAGTAGTTGAAAGTACAGCTCATAAGTTATACAGCTTGTTTGTAGATATGATTAAGCTTGTCTGCAGCCATATGCATATCACATAGTTATATATCCTTTTCTTAGGTCACTCAGAAGCTGTCAAGAGCCAGTATTTGCATGTGGTTGTGATCTACTACTTACAAAGCCAAATACTAATCAGGAGTAAGTGTAAATTATAAATTAGTCCCTCACTAAATTATAAATTAGTGGCTCAGTTAGTGTGCCAGTTGATGTGGAATCCATAAATCAGTAGGATACAAACATTATCATCTTCTAAGTCCAAGTCTGTGGTGTTCAAGGTGATCTGTAGCATTAACTCATGTTTAGCAGTGCTACACACAACAAAAAACACTATTTGCATTTGCATCAGGAGGAGTGCACCATATCAGTTGAAAGGCTCTTTTCCAACCCTACAATTGATCTAGTTTCTTCTTCTCCAAGTAAGAAGTGCATGTGTGCAAATGTTTGGGTCTCTTTGGCATAGAATTGATCTTCTCTTTCTTTGGACAGTCCACTTTTCTGTCTGGGTTGAAGGAGGAAAGAGCAGGTATAACAAGCCATGCTCTCTCCATGTTCTCAGGAAAAGCAAATCCTGGAATTTGGCAGCTTAGGGAAGGAGGAGCCACTGGTTTTCTGCCCAAGCTGAGTCAAGAGCAGAGCTTGGCAGCCCAGGCTTCACTGTAGTGAAGTAGAAGCCTGTTTGCGGGGGCTGTAGAAAACGTACTGGAGAGGGACAGAGGTTTGGAAGGAACAAGGGTATGTTTGTGAAAATGGAAGACTAACAAGTGAGGGAAAGGGAAGAATTGAGTGGTGATACTTGAGGATACAGCAGAGGGTTTGATCACTCTTCTTAATGTCTCATTCTTATTCCCTGTTTTTTGAACCTCTCAATTTCTGTCTTCTTGGCATCAAATTCAAATTTCTGTGCACTAATGGCACTGAATAGTTCTCCGTCTCTCTTGATTCTATACTGTGATCTTTTCCTCTTCCAACATCTTTCTATAATGTCAGCTTCTCTTTTTTTCACGTGAGGTTCTCAGTTGTTTTCCACTTGCTCTGACTTGTTTACAGGCATTTTCCTCTCAACTTTTTGACTTCTAGATGACACCAGCTGTGACTTTGTGTTCTATGAGCCATCTAATTGTTCCCTAAGCTGAAACTCAGTGGGGATGTTTCTGGGTTCAGCACAGGAAGAACTTTAACTTGTATGCAAATACATTGTTTGCTTAGGATCTAAGTACTTATCTCCATTCCTGTAGCATGCTGAAGGAAAGGACTCAATTGACAAATGCATGCCAAAAAGCATTCACCTTTCCCAAAGGAGTGTATCATCTCTTTACAGCACAATGTTTTGTTGCCATATGATCCTCCATGCTTGGCTGTTGGTGTGCATCTGTCTCTTATTTACACTATTGTATCTGAAAGATACGGATCAGATTCAGAGACTCCCTAAAAAGGGAAGAACTTATAGATGATGGAGAAGGGGAGAGAAGGAAGAAACGTGAGCAAATCAAGAGTTTTTGACACATTCTTTGCAAAATTTTGATGGTGCGTAAGCATGCAAAAGCCTCTCATTTTTCTGACATGCAATACAAGTATCCATGAGCCTGTATGGGTCCCTGTTCCATGGAGCACAAACACCCAGGATCTGACACTCAGGAAGGCAGCAGCTGCTGTATCAGTGTGGACCATTTGGTGTTTCTGTGAGGGCTGGGGCTCGGATGTGCTAGCACAATTGGCCAATCTGTGGTGAATTCTGACCCACTGCAGACTTCACAACTACACTCTGCTGTCTTTATTGCAAATTGACCCTTAAAGGTACTTCTGGAACTGTCACACACTGATTCAGGAGACCCAAAAATGTCAGAGCTTCTCTCTGACTCCAGTAAAAACAAAATGTAAATGGATGGAAAATATTATTAACCTAGAAATTATTGTGGAAGTCTAGTTACATAGGAAAAGCTGTAAGTTGTTCAGTTACTCATTACAGTGACTCACAGTTGTTAATTTTTGCAAATTTTAAGTCCCAATTTGTTTGTTGCTAAAAACACTCAGAAATTGCATGTTTGATGCTCTGTAGCATTGATGGACATGAGACTGGAAAAATCCATTTGTTTTTTACTAAAGAATCACTTGGTTACACTTAATCTTAGAAACCAAAAGCATGAAGAAATGCCCTCAACCTACTTACTAAATAATCATTCATCTTACAGATCTTCACTTAAGAAGTAAATGTAAACATGATTTAATGGAGCACTGTGATTTTATGCATGTCTTGTGTGTCTGGAATTCTGAAAATTGTTTCCAAATTGTTAGTTTTAAAAAAGAAGGGTAGTGGTATGACTACTAAAGTCTGATGGAAGATTCATCAATTTTATCATATTCCCAGGCTTACTTGGGAGAACAAATCCAAGTGCATATAACTGGCACTTGTTCTCTTTTGTGCCTAAAACTTTCAGAAGAACAGTTCATCTACCTTAGATGAGTATATTTCTCTAATATTCATAATGTAAACAGTTCATAGTGGGTGAAACAAATTTCATAGGCAACCATAAATTGAAAGACAAACTTTTTTTTTTGTAATTTAGGCCTCTTTCCCCAGTGGACAGTTTGTACTTCCAGTATTGCAAGCATGCAAAACAAAGTGGATTTGAGCACATTACAGTAGTGTATTGGTAACTCATTATTTAGGATTGAGTGACGTGACCTGTTCAGCTGTGAAATTTGAACCTGAAGATGACCTTGTAGGTCTCTTCATTTTTGTGTTTGCAAGAGACAGCAAAAATCCGAAGTAAACTACTGACAATAGTTTACAGGGGAGAAAAAATAGAAGATGTTGTGAGTGGAAGCCAAGGGATTCGACAGTACTTGCGGATGGAGGGTTGGAAATTTGGAGCAAGAGTTGAGATATTTGCAAACTACAGAATTGCTTTGTGGAATATTCTAATTCTTGAAACTGGGGAAATATCCGAAATACCAGTGATTACAATTGTGGTTTCAAACAGGAGAGTCACCTAGCTCTTGCCATCTGTCTCTTCAGTTTGCTTAAGAGTATTGACTGCTACAAGTTACAATAA